TTGTTTACGACACAGAAAAAACAAAGGAACCGCTCAGCACTGTCATTTCACGCACCAGGCTCCGATGGTTGGGCCACGTGTTGCGCATGCTAGCCCACTGACTTCAGCGACGTGCGTTGTTTGCTCACAGGGGGTGTGGATGCAAGAAGATGAGGGGTAGGCAAGCGATGACTTGGTCCAGAAGAATGAAGGCCCTCACTTCGGAGCTGGCGTCACGGCTCCCTGGTTAGGGTCCAAAAGAGGGTGAACACGTTTGGCTGCATAAACTTGCTGACATGGCAAGGAGCCGACCTCAGTGGCGTTCGTGTAGTGAGTTCCTTTGTCCCTCCCCATCGCTTTTAGCCTCCCTCTCCAACCACGATCTCATTTTGTAAGGTAATATAATTTTACATAATAATTTTTTGACTAGTAACCGGCTGGTAGCTTACCGGAACGATGCCCATCCGTTGCTGGTGGCTCAGCTGGCATGGAACTATTGTATTTATTTTATTTTTTCTTTAATGTATTGTGGTACAGTAGCTGAGGTGTTTCCCACCTCTAGCTAACGTGTATAATGATGATGATGATGATTGATATGCATTGTGTTTAAGAATGGGCAAAGCGGAATTGACTCCAATTCGGCGCAGCGAAGTGCACGGCGAATCCAATACGTCGTCCACCGAAGAAGGCTTATAAACTTTGAAACTATGCTTTGCAAATAGACCAGGGTGGGTGAACACAGAACACTGGTCTAGGCAATTTTGAACTTGTTTCATGGGGTTTCTATTTTGTGTTCCCTATATATATATATATATATATATATATATATATATATATGACAATGAGTTTGTTACCTGTTCTCATGTACCTGCAAACCAATGTTCTGCAGCGTTCCTTTGACGATAATAATGAGCATGTCGCAATAATGCAGCCTAACCACTAGATTTTATTCGGCCCATCGATGTCTAACTTAAGCATCGTAAAACACCACTCATGTCCGCAATGAGCCATCGTTGATCGCGACCTTATTTCATCCGTGGCGACGTCATGCACGACACTTTTGAAAGTTGTTTGAGTGAGCGAGGGAAATACAGATATACCCAGCGGACAAGCGACCTCAAATTCAGCTGTAATGAGCTTTGAAAATTCAGGTACCTAATATTTACAAAACCACCGTTCCAACTGCCGCAACCCCCACAATATGTGGCAGTCGTTTATGGACTAGATAAAGTAACGATTTACGAAGAATGTGGTGAAACAGTGAATTTTCCTGACACATTTGGATCTTGGCGATAATTATTGGTCTAGAGGAATCGATTAAGTTCACACCGGATATTTGCATTAAATCTATCGATCCACTTGACAGCTGATCTAGTATCCATATCTTATAGTGCACATCGAAAGTAAGTAGTGTCGCGTGTCTGCGCAAAAGTGCAGCGGCGTGGTAGACGGACCCATCCACTCGTGCATTCGGAAAGGGATTGGCCAACACCACCACGGCAGATGCACCTGTGTAGTGCAACGCAGTGTAGGAAAGTAAGTGTATGCGGTTGCGGGGGCACCGTCGTTCCACTGCTAAGAAATTCCTTCGGTAAACTTTAGTGGCCCTATTTTCGACTGTGGGTAGCTGTGGAAAAACAAAAACAGCTGATCTATCTAGCTATTTTCCATAGCGATCTGAGTGAAAAAGGGTTTATATCACCGCGTTCCTTAAGCACCTAAACAAGGAAATGAAATGAGGATACCAGTACTCCCGTTACGTTCGCCGTAGTTGATCGCGAGCGCTTATCTGGGATCTATCTAATTATCCACTTCAGTCAGTAGTCTAGCAGCCTATGAGACTTGATCTGTGAAAAATGGAACAATGGTTGTATACGGGTAATAAAGCTAATGCTTAACAGGCCCCGTAAGATGGTTATGGTGAAACTACAAGTATAATAACAAATGTTAACAAATTTGGGTTAATATCAGTGGACTCACTGAAGTATATGTAGTATAGACTGCAAATCCAAAGTAAATGCATGGGAAATGACGGTAAACGGGATGTTGGTAAAAATCGTGTCTCCTTCTGGTGTACACATAGAGGTGAGAAAGGTGGAAGGAAATCTGTGATTTGAGAGCCAGTGAAATCGCTTACAGACAAGTGTTTTTATCCATGGGTAATGGGTCATGTAAGATGATGCAGCGAAATAAGTGCACGGTCAACTCGGGCTTTGAACTCTGCCAGCGTGGGAGCACATATGACAGATTCCGGTAGGGCATTCCACGTTCTACAAACGCGTACAGAAAAAAATTCCGACGACATTCCAAGCGACTCTACTACACTGCCAGTTAGAGATGGTGGCCTCTCATATTGCTGCTATAACCGAGCTCTAGTAAGCAGCAGCACGTGTGCCTGGGATCTCATTAAATTTGGTAAGTCAAGATGAGGTCCCCGCGCAATCGTCGATACTGTCCGTTGAAGACCCAGAGCAATTGTAGCCTTCGTTCATACGGAAAATTATACAGACCATTGACATTCTTGGTTGCCTGGCTTTGGGGTATTTCCAAGGAGGTGCAATCTCTCCTCAGCCATGGCTGCCAGACCTGTATTGCGTATTCCACATGTGGCCGTTTGTATTAGCCGAGAATTTGTGAAAAAATCGAAGGGTCGAATCGTCCGAGTGCACGTTTCGGGAATCCCACATGTTGGATGCCCATCTTAGATGACATTTCAGCTTGCTGCGAACATCCAAGGTCGATCTTGACTAAAACTCCCAGATCCTTCTCGCCAGAAGACGTTCGAAGTTCCTGGTTACCAAGTTTGTAGAACTGCACCAACTTGTGCCGTAGGTACATCACTCTACATTTGTCCACATTGGATCGAAGTAGATTATGGATTGCCTACGCGTATACCCTATCGAGATCAGCTTGAAGTATTGTGATATCATCTGGTGTGTTTATCGCCCCTTTGTTTGCCAAATCGGCATCATGATATCCCGTCTAGAAATATACTTTTAAAATGCGTGTCCAGGCGATGATATGCCCTGCCTCTACAAGTACCAACGGGGTTCATCGTACGGACTACCAGCGTAGACTCGATTAAAGACCTAAATGGCTTGATGATCGCCTAAACAGAATTTGTTTGGGGATAATTACTAACAGGTGAATAGAAGTTGTTAAACTCGGCCCCATCCTCTTAAAACCATAGGTGTACAGTTAGTTATTCAGGCGGCAAAGACTCTTGGGTTAATCTCTGTGCGAAGTTCGCATCATACTTGGTTCCACATATTAGAAGGAAGTGAAGAAGACCTAATCACAGTGTCAGACAATACATTATTCCTGCGATCACTTCGCTGTATCAGGTAAGGTGCTTTCCTTGCGCACTGTATTAAAAATTGATGATTCATAAGACGATTCGATCGCATGTGGTCTAGCACTGCACCGCTACAGGCTGCTGGATTAGGTGAGCAGGGAAAAGCAAGCCGTTTGCGTCTGACTCCTGGGTTACAGAGCGCTGTGATTTGGTTTTGCTCACTCGTCTTGTCATCACTCAGGATGCTTCAGAAAATGGGTGATCATGAGTTTCTGTGATGTATTTATCCCAGCTTTCTCTTCTCCTTTGATTAGGAGTAAAACCACACCAAGTACAGACAACCTGACTACTACTACAAGCATCGATGTGTTCGCAGTTTCAACTCATGTCTGGTGGCAACAGCGCGTGAGTAATTGGCGCATTCCGCGTCGCGTATTTGGTGCAGGAATGGAAGCTGAAGTGCTCAGCACCGTTATGTCACACACCAGCTGCGATAGCTAGGCCACATTTAGAGCATGCCAGTACACCGATTCCCAAGCCATGCGTGGTATTCACGACCGGTGTGTGGATGGAAGAGGAGGCGAGGCCAAGTGGTGACTTGGTCAAGAGGACTGGTGTTCCTCGGTTCGAATTTGGCGTCAGTTGTTTTTTCCTGATTGCCGAGCTGGGGACTGATGGGAGATGAAGACGTTTGGTTGGATACACTGGTTGAAATAGCGAAGTGTCGATCTCAGTGGCGTTCATGTTGTGTGTCTATTTCTTCCTCTCCAAACCTTTAAGTTCCCTCTCCAAAAACGATCATAAACTCTATGTACACCGTGACATTTAAAACGATGTAACTTTGCCATAGCTTTTTTAGTCTTTATTGTTTACTCTCTCATCTGTTTTGTAATGCGGCACATTAGCTGTGGTGAATTGATATTGATGATGACCCAGTGTGTGGTTCAGATGTTTCAATTTAAACCCATCAAGACCTCGGTGCACCTTAACATCTCCCAGCTTAAGGATACGGGAACTATCTAATCGTTCTAGTCCCACCTGAACTTGACCGTGACCATCATGTCCATCTACTTTCTGAATGAAAAATTCGCAAGTGATACACAATGGGGCGGAATACCGTGTTGGATAAATACCTGTGTTTTTGACATTCGTTTGAGTTTAGAATACCTGTTTTGTAGTTTACCAGTGATGCTCCATATCACTATCCACAAAGACATACATTATGACAGCATTGGCCATACTGCTGTCAAAGAACCTCATAACTGGAGGGACAGATCTTATTTCAAACCCCACAACACTAGCAGTTACTAAAACGGAAAAGTCCCCACAATGGTTTTGATCAACCACGTGGTGGCTAGAGTTATACAAGCATTGCAGTTCTTTGATCATTGCAACAGAAATCAGTTGAGATCAACAAGGAGAATTATTGTTGCTTTTCTATAATCGAAATGTCTGTTTAACGTAACAGGCAATAAATTCGTGAAATCGGATACGGTTTCCTATTTATACTAATCCAGGCACTACTTAGCGACCATTTCAGTAGAACGAAATGACAAGGCAAACGTAATCTAGCCGTCCCCATATTTAATTCGTTGCTTTTGAAACACCGCCAACGCGATCTTCTGGGATGAAACCAACCTGAAGCGTTCGCTGCTATAGCCGGCTTCGTCCAGGAGTAATCCATACCGAATTGATGATGGACGTGAAAACAAAGTGAAACACTCACCGGGTGTGTGATCATCCGTTGCGTCTTCAAGTAAACAAGCATCTCCTTGATCCATGGCTTCAAAAGGAGGGAATGTGTAGCAGACCAACTCAATCAGTGAGTCCGAGTTTGTCTGCTCCATCGCAGTATAAATCTGCCAGCAGATTCGAACGGCTAGAGACAATGATACGAAAATAAGCCTGTTGTTAACAGTGCGACATACGTGTTACTTTGATGTGTACGATTAAACAACTTGTTATCATTCATGAAAGGAAAAAGTAGCCAGGGTATGCTGCACATAAACAGCATTTTCAGAAAGAGCGACAAAAGACGAGGCTTTAAGTAGACAATTGCTTTCCATTAATTTTTCGTCAGACTCATACAATACATGCACGTGTCGACTACAGCAAAGCTACAAAAAGACCTTCAATGCGGCTCAGCTGAATGTGATTTTCACGAGCAGACCCTTAATAGTTCCGAGATTCAAAGACCGAGTGCCTGATCATCTCCAAACAATGTTAATCTACCGATTCACTTGCCCGTGCAGGGCCAGGTACAGTGAAAGGACGACCAGAAATTTAGCTAAGAGAATTAAGGAACACCTCCCAGGTTAGCTAAACAATCGTGAAAATAGGACAAACTACAACTCGATTACGAACCATCTAATCAACACAGGCCACCAGATAGACAAACGAACATCCTTTCAGATTCTCTACAAAATACCATCAAGACAAAACCATCGACTAAGAGCTAGCATACTCGCTACCGCTGACACAGTATGCATACGCCTGACAAACCCGGACTTGTGCGTCCAGAAGAAGATGATACAAACACTTAAACTTCTGTGGCCGACCACCAGACGGGAAGAAAGTGATAGCACCCCGCAACTTCACCTGACTTCAGTCATGTCATCAGCTGACTGCCATCATGATCAAAGCTAAATTTTCTGATCAATTGTTTCTTTGTTATCCTGACGATTGCAACAGATCTAACCCTAATATATAGTATTTTAGGAGCCTGACGAAGAATTAATCGAAAACAATTGTTCGCTTAAAGCTTCGTGTTTGTCTCTGTTTCTGAATTTGACGTAATAAATGGGCATTCTGCTAGAGTTGAAAATGTACCAACAAGCATGATAAAATCTAGAGCCCTGAAAATATGAAAAATTGAAGGAGAAATGGCACTTAGTCACAGATCTGAAAACATGCGCATATATATGAAGTATCTTGAGGGCGGTGAAAGGAGAAGACTTTGTTCGATAGGGGGAACAAAATGTCAAAAATGAAGATCGAGTATCTTTTACTGTTTCACATACGTCGTTCTGAGGGCTCAGTTCGTTTACTTAAAACAGCATTTGTTGAAAAAGAAAATGTAGAGCAGCAATGAAGGTGTCTATTTCTACTGCGAGTCAGAACCTCAAATAATTCTAACCACTGGGAGTCAGCGTCACGTGGTCCTCGTCATGGAAAGCAAGCAGATCTAACGGACGCTAGACATAAGGTTCTTCATTTTCCCTTTCTACTTCATCGGATATTCACCGCGACACACTTTTCGTTTATGTCGAAAGTACAAATAAGACGTGACGAGGAAGTCGATGAGCGGTCATGAGCAGTACGTGACCCGACCGACGCAAACAATGTTGGTGGATGTATCCCTGGAGACAGGGAAAATTGTTCTCGGTATTCGGCTTCCGAAGTCTCTACCGTTCACTTGGTTCTGCCACCATTCACAAGTAATCGTTTGCAAGCTATGGAAATAGCGTCTAGTGAGAGCACGTAATTACCCCGCAAGCTAACCATTGTCAGTAACAGTGGAGGATAGGTGGTGCTATATCCCAGTTAGTTCGCAAATTGTGTAGCCCAGCCAACGTCCCCCATGGCTCAGTGGCCTAAGTTGCTGTCTAGTTGGCGTCTGCCTCTAGCGGTCACGGGTTCGACTCTACAGGGTGGGTTTACCACCTTTATAAGCACCTACGGTCCGACCATGTGTTATCCTGATGACACGCGCGATTAATTCTACCCTAAGCTATCCTCCGTGATACGGTCTGTGCCGAGGAGCGACCGACTATTTCTGCTGGGTGATTTTAACACGCGCGTTGGGCCTGATGCATCAGCGTGGACAGATGTTATCGGTCCGCATGGCATTGGTTCAGCGAATGCGAACGGTGACAGGCTGTTCTCACTATGTACCACTCACGGCCTGACGATCACGAACACTCGGTTTGCACTGAGTGTGAGTGATATAGTAACTTGGGCGCACCCACGGAGTGGTCACGCTCACCTGCTCGACTATGTCATCGTACGTCAGAGTGATATGCGTGAAGTGCGCATGACACGTGTATTGCGTGGAGCTGAGTGTGGCACTGACCACAAATTCGTGCGGACCAAACTGTAAATATATTTCGTAAATCTATGTATTGCACTCCCCCCGTGCATCGGCGTAAATTTGACATTCTCTCCCTCGGTACTGTGGCTAAATGTATTGATCTGAAGAAGGCAATGGCTGCACGCCTGTGTGATGTGGAATGCATAGCCACAGTGCGCGACCTGTGGCACCACATTCGCGACCAGGTGACAGCTGCTGCCGAGGAGACCATCGGGCGCGCAAACCGTAAGCGGCCTGATTGGTTTGATGAGAACAACGCGACAATTGGCGCATTGGTGTCGGAGAAGAATGCAGCATTCGCTGCACATGTCGCAGACCCCAGTGACTTGGGGAAGAGTAGTCAGTTTCGCAAACTTCCACAGCGACTGACCCGAGAGCTCCGTCGCATAAAAAATGCATGGTGCACGGAGAAGGCGAAGCAGACGGAATGATAAACCGAAAGCCGCAACACAAAGAATTCTTTAACTCATTGCAGGCGGTGTATGGACCGAGATTGGAGCCGCTGAGGACGCTGATCGATGGTAGTTCAGGCGCTACCTGCACACAAACTGCGGACATAATGCAGATCTGGCGAAAACAGTTTGACTGTCTCTTGAACAACCTTTCAGAGATCGACTGGCTTACATTGAACTGCCTCAAGCAGCACGATGTGAAGACGAGTCTGGCGGACATGCCGACACTGGATGAGACGCAGAGAGCACTTGCTCAGCTGCGAAACGGCAAGTGTGCTGGGGCCGACGGGATCCCGCCTGAAGTATTGAAACGCGGCGGGAAAGCGTTGTTGACTGCGCTGCACCACTTGGTGCAACGTGCATGGATTGAGGAGGAGGTGCCTGCTGAACTGAAGGATGCCCTTGTGCTACCACTGTACAACGGCAAAGGTAGCAAGCAATGTTGCACGAATTATCGTGGCATCAACTTGCTGAGTTGTGTGGGCAAGGTGATTGCCCGAATCCTGCTCAACTGCCTCGTCAATCAAGTTGTGGAACCTAACGTGGCGGAAGAGCAGTGTGGATTCCGTTCGGGTCGCAGCACTACACATATGGTGTTTGCGGTTCGTCAGTTGCAAGAGAAGTGCAGAGAAAGATACCAGCCACTGTACTCACATTTTGTTGATTTCACCAAAGTATTTGATACGGTGAACCGCGAGGCATTTTGGCTGGTGTTGGGTAAGTTTTTTTGCCCCCGTAAGTTTGTAAGTTTAATTGAATGTCTGCACAGTGGTATGCGGGCGAGGGTACAGCTGAGTGGAGAGACCTCGGATGCCTTCACAGTTATCTCTGGTGTGAAGCAAGACTGTGTCTTAGCTCCCGCTTTGTTTAATATCTATCTTCATGCAATGATGTCTTGTGCATTTGATGCCGCTTGTGCTTACGGAGTTCGTGTGGAGCACCGTATTGATGGTGGGTTGCTGAACATCCGTCGTTTCGGTGCGAGAACTCTAGTCTGTGAGATAACTATCCGTATGTTGCTGTTTGCTGACGACTGTGCGTTGTTTTCATACAGCGCGGATGAGTTGCAGCACATAACTAGCGTTCTGGCTTCCACAGCGACCAAATTAGTACTGACCATCAACACAAGTAAAACTGTCGGTTTCTTTTAGCCTTCACCGGAGGTGTAATCTACAATGTTGCCGCAAAAAAAGGCATTGGTGATGACGTATTGTAATCCTCCTACCGCTTCTGCTACCTTGGGAGTGTGATGTCGAGTGATCAGCAGCTACACAATGCGCTGCGTATCCGCGCCTCGAAGGCAGCGGCGGCATTCGGGAAGCTAGAGTCACGAGTGTGGAACAACCATCAACTTACCGTTGGCACGAAGCTGATGGTGTACAAATCCATGGTAATTTCCGTTCTTCTATACTGCAGCAAAACCTGGACGATGTACCGGCGGGATGTGGAACATCTCGAGCGGTTCCATTAACAGTGTCTGGGACGGATTCTGCGCATTGTTTTGTGCGACAAAGTTGCGGACACGGAAGTGTTGAGCCGAAGTGGAATGTATGCAGTGGACTGCATGCTTTTGCTGAGGCACCTTAGGTGGCTCGGTCATATGTGGCGTATGGATTCGACGCGGATACCGAAGCAGCTATTATATGGTCAACTGTGTTTAGGGAAGCGGCGTGTGAGGAAATGAAACTTACGTTACCAAGACATGAACAGAGTGAGTCTCTGACGTTCTAACCTTGACTGCAGGTCGTGGGAATCGAAAGCGGCTGATCGGCGTGCACGGCGCGATCTAATCACGAAGGCTGTCGCCAAGGTACAAGGGAAAGACCTCTTGTGTGCAAAGAAGAGGCGGCAAGTGCGGAAGCGACAGGCGGTTATGGGTTGTATTCCAACGACCGCGAGCGCATGGTGCTGTAGCGCATGCGGTCGTGAGTGCCTTAGTCAGGCAGGCTTAGTGAGCCATGAGCGATGCCACTAGGAGCCCCCGCCGAAGCGACGACGGGTCCTGCAGAGAACGTAGGTAGAACTGACTCAGCGACTGTAGATACGCTGCATTCGATTTACTAACCGCGTGCTTGCATGTAGAGTCTCTTTATTTCAGGCCGTGGATTTACCATGTTGTTCTAATGTTTTGTTATCTTAATATCTACCTGTACTACATTCTATAAACTTACACACGTCGCTTAAACCAATTGTAGTTGATTTCGATAACATTTTCGCGATTGGGGCGTTTTCTTAAAATATGTTTTCAGACCTCTTGAACTCTTTGCGGATTTGTTCGTAACCAATTTATTTCAAATGCTCATTTGCTGAAGAGCTATGTCATCGTATCTGTATGCATTATTCGATTTATTTTAGTCGATATTGTCATTTCAAGTGACTGGCTGTTTCTTGATATTCCCGGTGTGGCTGCGCTTGATGTGCATATTGATAAGGTGCCTACCTGTCTATTAGCCACTACGTCGCCCATACTGGCTCCAGGAGACAGTTTGTCGTTGCTGGAAGGGACGGGGTGCAAAGTCCTTGTGACCCTGCTAGGGTTGAAGTGGTTTCATGCACTCAGTGTGAAACAGACTACGGTTTAGCCACCGCCTTGTGTGCGCTTGATGCCCCAAATACAGGGTGTTTGTGTTTTCCTGTGAAGGAGTGTGGGCCGGTTCCGTTGATGAAACCTGGCTCCTATCCACCTGCCTCCCGGTCTTATTCCTTCGGGTTTACACTGGATATGGAGTGTGTGGATAGAACTGTGGGTGGTGCAGCGCAAGCCACCCATGGGCCCCTCTGTAGGCGCAGGCGTCCTGTGGCTGACCACAGTGACTGGCAAATCCGAAACTGGTTGCCGCCAATGATATATATATATATATATATATATATATATATATATATATATATATATATCGTGCCAGCTGGGTGTTTCGGGATTTTTCCGTTCCAGCAAATGGTTCGGCGGCAGTGTTCCAGGACGTGGTGGGTTTTCGCCTGGCAAGCGTTCTCCCTATAAAAAGCCACATATGTCCGTTTAACAACACTGTGACGTGGCGGATGTGACTCGCCACTAAATAAAGTCACTGCCCCTTGCTTCATTCTGGCGAAGCATTGTATTCCAGCAACCTTATGCTGTACTTCTGGGGAGCGTTGGGCCCCTGTTTGACAAAGGAACAAACGAAAGGCGTATGAACTGAGAAATCAGTCACCGGCTCCCAATGGGCGCGATTCCCTGAATTCGCTCCGCTGCCTTGCGGGCATGCTATTCAGCCAAAGGCTCGGGGTGGTGTCCCCTAAGTCAACACCCTACTTCGGCTTGAGCAACCGGGTAGTATCTCGCCCTCTGAGGAAACCATGGACATTGTTGTGTTGTGTTTTATTTTACTGTTTCTGTACCTTCGTTTGAATCCCATAGTTTCTGATGGCATTATGTCTGTTAGCAGACTTTTGCAAATATATATATATATATATATGTCGCATGCGGATTCTCGCTTCCGCCTTGCAATTTAACTTCACTCCTATCGGCTGATTGACGATCATCTGTCTGCTCACGTTCGCACGTACTCGCGGTCCCCGGTATTTGGCTGCATTCAAACCCGGTCAGCCGCGGTCCTGCTTACGCCTACCACATCGCTGCCCTTGCCATCGATTGTGAACTGATTTCGTCGGTTGCTTCTCTTCATATAGCAATCTGTGCCGTAGATGACGAACTGATCACATCAGCTACCTTCGTGACTTACTTCAGGCTCTTCTCGCGACGTGAGATCGTGTCCCACCATTTCGAAGGCGTGGTTACTGCCCATAGAAAATGCCAAGAAGCTATTTGCTGTCAAAAGTAAGGTATAATACAGCTGGTCCTTACCACCTGGGAAAGCTTATTAGTAGCAAAGAAGTTTATCGACCACGATTTTTCATCAAGTAGTGAGACAATTCACTGGGCCTTGTGCCAAATTGACACCATCATTTTCACACGTCGGTAGACGTCCTGCTCGTCGTGTTTCTCTTGTTGTGGGTGCGCCTGTGTGTGTGGGTTTTCGTGACAAAGGGAGGTGACGAATATGATTAGAATTGTGCTGTTTCTTGTTCGCGTATACAACAGGCAGCCATATTAACTGCAAATATTGTCTTATCTAAGCATCTCGAATTATCTCACTGCCTCCATTTTGTTGATAATCGTATATAGTATACCCTCAGCCTTCCAACATTTCACAAATAGCCTTCCGTTTTTCGTTTGTTCTACCATTTTCAATTAAATTTCAAACTCATGTCTGCTCAGCGGCCATAATTAGCGCTGCTTACCAAGGTGCTAAGATCTTAGGGCTGAAAGTATACAGCTATACCGAAAGCTACAATAAATTAGTTGCAATCGATAAAGCTTGTTGCTTTTTTACACTTCACAAATACTAATATGCCTAACCGGCTCTAACGCATTTGCACCGTGGAGGCTGAATTGTTACATGTGGCTCTTAGGAAGGTGACATCCGACATAGTTAAGTTGTAAGTTTGAAGATGGTGTTAAGTAAGATGAATTTTTTCATTTCGATTATTGAGGCGCCCTTTTCCTCTTTGGTTAACATGTTCACGAAATTTCCCCTTTGACGTAGCCGTGGGACAATCGATAAGCAAACACGACTTGCAGTGAACCCCATCTATCAAGTGGTATGTGGGATATTGGAATACACTCACGGACTGATGCCGAATTGTGCAACCGAACGATTCTTGTCACGGGGGGACCTCCGAGTAGGCTATCTCCAAATCGAGCATTAATTTGTTTGTGATTCTCGGTGAAAAGTTTCAGTACAGGTTTCGATCTCTCCGACTTGGGTATCAGCTGTCCAATGCGGTTGGTAACCTCACCAAATGGACTCTTCGGGATGAAAAATATCGGGCAACCAACCACACTGAACTGCACAGGCAGTCGAAGTGATGATGCTGATTTCGCAGTGTCGTTTTCGTCCCCATCGGTTGATTCTACTCTCAAAGTTATGTGGTCTTCATAGACTCCCCATAAATTTGCCACAGCAACAACGCATACGCGCAGGCACTGGAATGCGGGCACGAGCCAACTAGGTTCTGGGAGATAAATGTGTTTGGTAGCATTGCTTTGCTTGTAGGTAATACCATCTGAATTGCGGAGACTTGTAAATGCAAATAAAGAGGCGCATCGTGGAGGTGTCAAAAATACTTTGCACCATTCTGAAAGGAAATGTAAAATACAGTTAAAATAATGGCACATTGCTGGTAGAACGGATGGCTTCTGAAAGTCCTGTTGAGTGGTCAGGCCATAAGTTACAGAGTAACAAATATATGCGCGGTAAGGGTGGTTTCAAGTTAGGGTCAAATGAAGCCTGCAAAGGTGCACAGTAGGTGTTCTTCCGATATCATGCAATTCAGTAAAAGATAATGAAGTGGTTAAGATTAGCCAGTACTCAAACTCTAGGCACGATCAGTAGCTCCAGCTGAGAGGAAGGTGAAGATGCGTCTACGGTGAGCAATTGTATGAGCAATGTTCCCTACTCCATATCTCTAGGTAAAAACCACACTGAAAATTCAGCATCATCCATTGCACCAAGCGGACAAATTGGTGTAAAAGTTATAAGTCGCATATATGCATCACTTAGAGCAGACTTCCAATCAGGGATTTTCCTAACAGATATTGCTCATGGAGGCTACCTGTAAATCGAACCTTTGTAGCCAAACCACGTGGACCCAGTATTAACGGAATAAGTAGGTGGGTTTTTTTTCTCGACGATGAGAAACACACTTTTGGTGTTTAGTCTAACCAATTAGCATAAGGGGATCTGGCAAGGGAATAGGATTAATCGGCGAGCCGCATTTCGCTTGGGGCGACCATTCGGTTAAGCAAAGCATCGATCACAAATTAATAGGTGACGTGCACAAAATCCGCAAAGTAGCGAATCGATGAGCGGCAGTGAGATGGAGATAAGTACTTGTGATAGTATGTCTGTTTCTAAGTCCAAAGGATGTCAGAGCGCTAATTTAACTGAATATGATTCTTTCACTCGTATGCGGATGTATCTAAAATGATTTTCCGTAGGGGATAGTCAACTAGCAATGAGGAATTTATTTCCACGGAATGTACATATCCAAAGTTTTCGTTACTAGTGAAGCTGGTCCGGTTCTTTAAGAACCGACAGCTTGTTCCCAAGAATAATATTGAAATCAGTACTCAGCTGGTTGCCTCCGGTTGCAAAGATCAAGGACGTGTTTGTTTCCATTGCGGTGTTCTCCACAAGGCAATTTGTGGAATATGCAATCAGAGTTCAGATGTCAATGCTGCAGTTTCTCCTAGAGCTGTCAGTATAGTCTGTCCCTGTAGTGGAGTATGAGGCAACTGAATGAAGTGCGAGCTGCTGCAGATGTGGGCCGTTGGAGCTGAAACGATTGATGCGTTCTCTTTGTGTGTTCGTGCGTTCATGGTCGGGAAATAAGGTGTCAACCATCCAAACATAATCGATCTTGCCACAACAATTCCACTAGATTTTCAAGGAAGACTCAGACTGCTACTATAACACGGCCGATATAGTCATGTCAGTTGTAACATTACGAAAAGGTTGAAGACGGGGAAATATAACAAAATCTGCACTACTATGTTCCGTAGTATACACTGAGTTGGAAGCGGTACGGTTCACAGTGAGTTCGAAGGGGTTTACCAATAGAATCGAACAGGTCCATTTTCCAATAGCTTGTCAAAGGGCGTGCTTGCGCGGAGGCTACTTAACCACTAACAATACAAAACGAATTCGCCGTTGTAGCTGGTCCATATAGTCAGTCAGCAGATGCGTACAAATACTAGTAACAGTATTCAGTGAAAGACTGATGAATTATGGATACTCAACGAATCACCTGGTTAGGAGTTATTTGTCGTTAACTTATGCAACCATGTTCGCTCACTATGTTTCGGAGAATGCTGTACTTCTTACTGGTTGCCTTTGAAGTACTAGTTACTATCTTGCGTAACGTGCTATGGACTTAATGAGTTGGCCTGAAAAGAATACTCATAGATATTTCATTCAAACCATCAGTATAACTTAGATTCTCCAAAAGAAAAGTGCGATTCAAATTGTTAGAGGCAGGAAATTCGTGTGCATTTTACAAGCAAGTAGTATCTTCGCTCGTTCCGAGATACCGCAGTTTCCATCAACATAACTCGTTATTTGTGAAATCCAATAAGAAATTCCCACCTCATTGTAGCAACTAACGGATACAGTCGGATTCATCGCTATTTGGATCTACTACATTTCTTTATCCACCGCTTTCCCACACATAGGTTATACGTACAAATTCAGATTCCTCGGAGTCCATTGTGTTTTGTTCCGTCTTTTGTACGACAGCTGTACGTTTATTTGACTTCCATGGTTTTGGTGACTCAATGTCTATTCGTGAACTGCCGAGAACATACAGAAAATCACACTGCCACTCTGCACACGCAAACGAACTCCAGTTGTCAGTAAGTTTTCTCACTTTCAAGGACAGAATCTGTTTGCTCTTCGCGATTATTTCTGAACCCAAATGAAATCATAGTACTTGTATGAACGACTTCCCAGCAAATTTAGCTAGGTGTGGTGTGCCAACACTTTGTCAATGGGATGACGATGATCGCTTGGTTTCAGATTTTTGGCTCCCCACACAGCAGATAAGTGGGTGCAAAAGATAGTCGGTGCTAGAGAACAGATGATCAGTTGAATAGCACATTGGAACCAAAGGAGTGGTATGTATTAAAACAGCAATTGGGGCTCTTTGCGGATGGCGTTAGAGAGTTGTGCAAAGCTAGGACTCACAGCCTATTCGTAGGAAAGTCGAGCAAGACCGAGGGGTAAATTATGCGAAACATACAGCCGTAATAAAAGGGGCTTGGAAAATCAGCAGAGGACACGGTCGTTAGGAAGGTTCCTCAAGTAGAGATAAAGGCAGCTGAAAATCGGGGCCTGAAATGGTATGGAATGCTTGGATACGGCGGAGTCAACAGATTGACCATTCGAGCTGAACACACTCAGGTGAACCAAATTGACCTTAGACATGTGAAATAGACACCCTACAGCGAATCAGTCTGAAATGCTGGTGCCCCATTGTGACCCACAAATCGACTGCATACCTGGGTTGCTGAAGAAATGATCCGTTGGGAGGTTTTTGGAACCAGGGTTTGATGGGCAGCAACTTAGCATTTAGTAATGGATAGTAGTACGTCACATGTCCTTAATTCTCAAACGCAAGCCACATTAGGATATAATGTTGTAAGGAGCGTACAGTAAAGACATGAATGGTTGATATTACCAAACCAAATTTCAGATACTATACGACAGATGCCGTATTCCAGAAGGACCCATTACCCTATCCCAACCGCATACTCCGTTCGCGATCTGGGAATTCGATATTCTGACAACCTCAACTTATCCGAACACATCCTACATCAAGTTGCGAAAGCATAAAACCTAACAAGGCACATCACTAGATTAGTTTCATTAATACAAACCCTGTTTGACTAATTCAAACTCAGATTGCGACATACTAGGGTACTGCACCATCGTGCATAGCTACACCATTGCAAAACAAGTAGAATTACTCTGGAAAACATCCGGCGCTCATTTACCAAAATTACCATGGGACACTTATTAACGCTTAAGTGCGAGGAGGGATGATCTTATCTCTAGGTTACTTAACTGGTTTCGACGAGTAAAAAGCATCCTTATCTTTTTCCGTAGCACCATATAATTTTGAGTCTTCTCAACTAGTACGGTTGTCGTTTTACGAAACCACCCAACCTACCTTACTCGTAATGGGAAATCTCTACTATCCTTACAGAAGATCATGCAAAATAGTTGTTTGAATTTCTTAGTAGAAAGGTATGCCCATTTGTGAAATAAGCTACCAATGCAGTTAGGGACTAGCGAGAACTTATATATATATATATATATATATATATATATATATATATATATATATATATATATATATCACCCGTAAACTTTTATCTGTATGCCAACTGTGGTCAAACTTCTAGGCCTTCAGCATTACACAAGTGTACCACTGAAACCCGGCCAGAAAAATATGACAAACTAGCAATCCACCGAACTGGTACTTAGCATATAGTCCATAAACCATTGCATTAATGATCCATATTAGTTGAAAAATTCATAACTGAGATGTTCATGAAACTCACTGTACAATTGATCGTCCCGCAAGGGCAAACGGATCCTGCCCGTAGGGGAAGATACCATTTATTCATTACTTAAGCTAAGCTGCCGTCCGATGAGAGGACTGTTACAGGAGTTTGCCAGCGACTGCAGAAAGAATCATGCTGCAAAGGTAGTCCCTGTTCTGAACCGCAAAAGAAATGCAGACAAGCCCAACGATATGATAAGAAGGACTAGGAGAATCTTAGCAAACTGAAGCTGAACCACCACTCGCTGCTCTCAAACTTTGCCGCAACTATGCTGTCTCACTGGCTCAGGCTCCAATCTGGTAGGTTGCACGGAGACAAAAACAATGGGAGAGTGGACTGCAGTTGTTGCTCAACAGCGACGGTAATATCGTGCGAAACCACAGGTAAATATGGCAAATTGAAAAAGAGGAACTTCGAGGGCGCTGTACTTTTGACAACCAATGATATTTTAACCCACACAGTGCGGTCATATTGGCTCACTTACCATAAAGTTTACGTCGTTGTGACATTCGTTCTGATCCCGCTTCCCAACGGTCTGCTTCGAGTTCAGGCTCAACAACCTGCAGTCCAAACAAGTAGGGGCAGGAGGCAGTGTTCACCTCGCATCGTTGCTGAAGGCCAAACGTATGGAACTCAAATGAAATTTGTGCATTTATTGGAGTTGGATTGACAACCTCAATCCATCGACAGGAAGGAGAGTACAACTCCATTTCCTCATCAAATTTGATAAGCGGCCTTTCCAAGGGAATGACGCAGTCTGTCGAAGCGACCAGTTCGACCCGCGTAGCAGACAGTTCCTCGGATCTGTTACATGGGCGTCGTAATTACAAAATTGTGTCGGAGGTTTACAATTCCAGATGGATGTCTTACTGCATCACCTTTTCCCAACAATGCAAAAAAGGACACAGTTGGTGCGAATGGAATTTGGTAAGGCAGTGTGTTGTCGCATATCAGTTGCCTGAATATTTCTGTGTTCTGTGTTCGTAACGTCCTAATGACTACATATGCCTCCGACTTTCTGTTCCTTAGTTCCTTAACAGGATGATGGAACGATAGATTTATCCCCGATAAAAAGACAATGCACTTAATACCTTATGTTGGAAAGAGTGTAATCAAAAATGAGTTTATCAAAAATAGCGTAGCAGTGGACTTCCCGCAAATGTTGTATGAACACACGATTTGAGCTTCTCGTCCCGTGTCCCAAATAATTGGGTTAACACAAGTGGTGCAATGCATTGTCGAGTCGGGTTTTAAATTCCGCTAACGGAGGAGCGAAGATGACAGAATGCGAAAGTAAGTTACACGACTGTGTTACTCGAATGGAGCACACGTTCCGCAACATTCAAACTGGTAGTTAACTTCAAACCGTGGCCTCTCAGTGAGGTATCATGGCTGAAACACAATAACGGTCGGCATAGGTGGTTAGGACCAGTGAGAGTCTAATACACCAATACGTGATCACCTCGCAGAAGACGATATTGTTCGCTGAAAACTCCTAGTGTCTTAACTGGTAAGGGAAGTAGAGCAATCCCTTAACGTTTTTGCCGTTCTCCGTTGTGGCTTCTCAAGAGCAGTGAGGTCACGTTTTGCCAGCGGTGCCACATCATGATGGAGTATTCTACACGTGGTCTTACGTAAGCGTTGGGAATTTTCTAAAATAGGTGGGATCAAACTGACCAAACACCATCCGCAGTAGGCCTAGGTCTTGGCTAACTTTCTTCCCCGCCTTCTCAGCTTGTCTTAAGCATCCAAGATCATCCTGCACGAGCACTCTAGGAACACTGTCACGTATGCAGTTTTGATACGTGAACACAGGCGTTCAAATGGTTGGTTGACAATGACTTTGCCTTACCTACCCTGTTTCATTGATTTTTCGTTACAACATTTCTAGCCACTGTAACGTAGGAAGCTTATTAGAACGGTTCCATACTACACCTGTGCGTTCTTTTCCGTCTTTCGGTTAAGGTCCATAAGTAACAATCACTTTCGAGAACAGTACGCTACAAGATCTGTTCTCCCAGTCGATATTCATAGAGGCTCTGGTGCCGCATGCTCATTATTTTACATTTGGTAGGGTTAAACTCAGGCATGTCCCGGATCGACAACTCGTAAGCCCTGTCGAGATCACTTTGCAGTGCTATTTGGTCGCCTACTCACTTGACTGCCCGGCAAACCTTGAGGTCGTCCGCAAAGAGTAGGAAGTTCGACGTCAAAGCTTTCGCAAGGTCGTTCCTGAACACTAGGGTTAGACGTGGTGCTAGTACCGCGCCTTGAAGGAGGCCACAGTGAACCTCCGTTGGGTCTGACAGAGCGCTGTGAAATCCCACATTCATGCGTCATTGGCGTAGGAATGAATGAATTCAGCCCAGGACAGGGGCACCCATCCCGTAGCCCCGAAGTGTGTGAAGAACAACGCGGTGATCAAGGCGATTAAATGATTTCGAGAAATAATGGTAAGCGGTGTCGGCTACTTCTGCAGCACTGACGGATTCCGTCTAGCTCGCACAGGTTATAAAAGAGTTCGTCGTACTTGAGCGGTTTCGGCAAAATATATGCCGCTGCCGCACCATGATATTACACCTTTTAAATATCCCAAGCATTTTCCTGCAACTGCAGTAGAGCTCACCCGGGCGACTTTGTCGTGTGTGTGTGTTATGCGTAGTTCCATCGCCGTGGTGGATGGTAGCGGAAAATTCGTTTCCGTCTCCCTTTCTTCTTCTTTCATTAGTGATCCATCTTTACACTACGTAATTAACTATTGTGATGCCTTCATCATATATTACCTATACAGCGGATGTCTCAATATATATAAAGAATAAATACACAAAATTTTGACTGCAAACGGTAGCGTGTAAACACAAGGGGACGAGAACAGAAAATGCAACGAACCAGATGGTATGTACCCAAATATGCGACTCACTGAAGGGGCACATCATTCATTGCAGAGATGTAGACAGTGAGGCCACGCACTTCTCCGAAGACGGAACATTCCAAGTAACCATCCATCCCTTCGATGTAGCAAGGCAACTGTAGCTGCCTGATTGATTGCTGAGAACAGGCAATACTCGCAAATGAGGTCTAGTGGTCACTTATAACAAAACTGGTTGTGACGACGAATGTAGGGTGCAGATGAATGCGTTTCACTTCGGTGAAGCTTTCTGGGAAGAAACTTTTTAATTGCCCTCAAATCTTATTGGGATTATTCACGTTTGGTGTACCGATCGTTATCACGTAGATTAGTTGAATTTCAAAAGGAACGATGATAGAGTAAGGCTAATCCTATAAATTCCTGCTAACACAGTAAACGTGGTCCAGTAACTACCTTTAGTTTGCTTCTGAGTATCTCAATGTATCACGATGAAAACCTAGCGAAACCTCTAATCCGTGATGCAGCGACTGTGGATGCATATTGACCAAGCGAAAAAAGGAAGCTTAAACGACATTAACAGCAGTACGCCAGCTATTTGAATTGTTTCATCGGTACTGCACAACCAGAAGGATATAGCATTTGACGAATCATATGCAATGGCAGAAGAAGGGCCTCCTACCAAATCTAACTGGTCTAAGCAAACATTGGGAATAAAGGCGCGTACACCTTGTCAACAACATACTGTCACAAACAGCTGGCTATTGTGCAGATATAAAGCGGTATCGGCGCGGCTGCTTCCTTGCAGCTTTCACTGCCTCTTAGACAACTCAGAATTAGACACATTGCTGAAATCTGAGAAACTTGCATGTATGTGCACTAACGCACAATGGCTCCTCAATAAACATACCGAACATCGCGTACATCAGGTCGCGAACGCTTGGAATCTAATTTCCATCACCGAAACCTGGTTACACGAATAAGTGTCTTATGCTGAGGTTGAGCTAGCAGGTATATCACTCATCCGGAACGATTCTCCCAGAACAGGTGGTGGGGTCCTTCTCTACAACCGCAGCGACCTGCAGTGTGTAATAGTTGATGACGCGAAAACTCTTGTTACCGATTCACTTTGGTGCCGTCTCCGACTAAGACACAACGCGCATATCTCGTAGCTGTCGTTTATCGACCCCAAGCTCTACTCCGGAAATAGATTCCAGATTGATACGTGCCTTGAACAGGTTAACGCGCCATAGGTACAGCCACATTCTCATCGCCGGTGATTTCAATGTACAGAATCTGGAGATAACAGCATCTTCCAACAAAAAGATCAAAGCAGACTTGCATGAAGTTATCGTTAATATTCACTTAAACGATAATGTCACCATGTTCGTTAGAATAAGGGCATTAAACAAACCGACCATGCTGAACCTTGTGCTCACAAATGTAGAGGTCAGAATCGACCAGTTATTGATGGAGAGTCCATTAGGCCTTAGCGACCATGTAGTAATAACATTTAACTGTTACTTATGCAGAGTATCCATCTGAACACTCGGAACTAACTCATACCATCACACGCTACCACGTCTTGAAAGAACTTGTTGATGCATCCGCTTGGAAATTCTTAAACAATAGTCCTCCTGGCAATATTTGGAAGGAGTTCGTTGATAGACTCAGCGACATCGTCAAAAAAGCATCATAGACCAAACCCCTTCGTCCAGCAAAAATGCTTTTAATTCTAAGAAGCAGGACTCGAAAATGCCTGGCGATAAGGGATGCAGTATGGCGTGTCTACAAAGTTAACCCCGACTCAGAGACATGGGGCAATTTCTTGACCCATCGCAAGCATTGCACTGCACTTGTTTGTGAGGACAAAGTAAGGTATCAATAGTGCCTAGCCAAAAAAAATCCTGGCAAATCCTGGCAAACAACAAACTACTATATAGTCATGTCAACAATCTTCGTAAAGTGAAGCATGCCATCCCACCACTTTTTATGACAGGCATTAGGTTACAAAGCGCTGAAGAAGCAGGTAATGCCTGCAGTTATAATACGCCGCACTCTTCGAACTCGTGACCTCGACCTGTTCCATAATTTCAAACACATCACCGACACCAGGGTTTACACATGTAATTTTCAACGCAGAAACTGTGCTAAGGAAATTACTCCCAAAGCGCGATCCTAGCTCTCCGGAGCCAAAAATATACACTAAATGACACTGAAGGTTGCTGCTAACAAGCTAATTGAACCACTGTCACAGTTCTTCCAAAGGTGCTTCGATGAACAGCGAGTCCCCCTTATGTGGAAGCATGGCATTATTACCCTAAGTTTTAATGTCGGTAGCGGTTCCGACTCTGCAAACTATCACCAAGTGACTTTCCTTCCTGTGCTCGCGAAGGTGATGGAAGCAATCGTCGCCGAGGCTCCAATGCACTATCCGGAAAAATGCAACAAGTTGGCACCGGAGCGGCAAGGCTTCTGTCAACACTGGTGATACACCTAGATGAATCATAGTAATGGAAGTATATTGTAAGTAACGGTGCATACAAGAAACGTATAGAAGCAAACAGCAAGCAAGCAAGCAAGTAACGTGAGTGCTGAGTCCAGTGTTCGATCAGACAGGGAGAGACTTGGCCAATGAGCGCAATGAGAGGAAGGACGAAACACACACACGCATTGATGGACACGCACACACCCGCGTACATTCGCAGTCAGTAGAGGCGACACGGAACACTGGCTGAGGGCGCATCAGTTCTTCCCCCTGTATTTGCAACTATGCAGCTTGGACACGTACAACCTGTCGGCAGTCGCGGGTTGATCTGCGCAACGGACTTTCAGGTGCTGGTGGTGAGTCATTCGCTGGCATGTCGTCCAATAGTGCGTGTGGAGAATTTGGTTCACAGGTAGAATCGGATGTTGACGACCTTGGTCGAACGTGATCCATGTGGCGCCGCACGGTTTTGCCGTCCTCAGTCTCTGCCTCTATGATCGACCCGTTAGACGTTTTGACGACGGCCGGTTGCCATCCTTCGTCTGTAGGCAAGCGTATGTAGATTGGATCTGATTCTGTTACAAACCTGTTTCTGCTGCGAGTACCAAAGCGTTCTGTTACCCGTTCTTTTTTTCGTGAACTTCAGCTGCCAGAGTTCCGTGCAGTAAGTCCAATCGAGTACGCAAACGGCGGCTGAACATAAGCTCCGCAGGACTTCTTCCGGTGGTATCGTTCACCATATTCCGGTAAGCAAAAAGGGCACGATCTAGACGCACACGCAATGGCGCACCTGTTTGTTTGAGCAGCATATTTTTCAGCGCTATCAGCCAAACCGTTCGAAGACGAATGATAACGGGCGGTAGTTACATGTCTAATTCCATTTGAGGTAAGGAAGGTGGAAAACGATGCTAGTGAACACCGATCCGTTGTCAGACACAAGTGTTTCGGGAAGTCCAAAAATAACGAACGTAGTGCGTAGTTTGATTATTGTGCTAGCTGACGTCGCCGGGATAGAATGTGAGCGTCAATCCATTTAGAATGCGCATCAACTACAAGCGGAATCATTTGAATTTTGAATGGACCGGAAAAGTCCACGTGTACCCGTTTCCAGGGCGTCTCTGGCATTGTCCAGGGCTGCATCGGTATGTGGGGGACAGCGTTTCGCGGTTCTTTGCAAAGCATGCAACATCCTACTTTCGCCGCAATGTCGCCATCCAATCCGGGTCATCATACATAGGCACGGCCCAGTGTCTTCATCTTACCAACTCCTGGGTGTGCATCGTGAAGCTCGTTCAGTATGGCTAATCGTAATCTTTTAGGCATCACAACGCGTGCACCCCACAGCAAACATCCATCCCGGAGGCTCAGTTCAGACATTCTATGGCGAAAAGGTGTAAGTTCTGCAAGCGTGTTGTTGGGCCATACAACCTGAACGCACCGCGTTATAAGCGCTAATAACGGATCTCTGTCTGACTCGGGACGTATACCTGTAGACTTGATGGGAGTCTAGTTGAACAGCTGAATTAGATTCACAAGTTCTTGCGGAGTGAAGCCTTCTGAAGGGACCTCCAGTAGGGGGAGTTGACTGAGGACGTCAGTGGAGGTATTCTGTCTGCACGGAACATATTGAATCTGGTGTGTGTAAGCAGATAGAATGAGGGACCAGCGGATCATTTTGGGGGAGGCTATTTGTTGAATTCTGATTTCGTGCCCAAGGAGTGAGATAAGGGTTTCATGGTCGGTGGGAATCACGAAATGTTAACCAAACAAGTACTGATGGAATCGTTTGCTCTCGAAAATGAGAGCGACCGCCTGTCAATCGAGATGAGAGTAGTGTCTTTCGGCTGTGGTTAAGGTTCGTGAAGCGTAGGCAACAGGTCGCTGCGAACCACCACATAATTTAGGTAGCAAAACGGTCCCAAGGCCATAAGGAGAAGCGTCACAGGTAAGAACAATAGGTTTCCGTGGATCGCAATGTACAAGGACCTCAGCTAACGCCAAAAAATTCCATTTCCACAGCTGATACTTGGGCAAAAGTTGATGAAGCGGATGTAAGTGAGTTGATGCTGCTGGTATGAATCTGGAGAACTGAGTGACTGCTCCTAGAAAGGAGTGTAGTTCGTTTACGTTTTTGGGCGTTGGGGCTTTAAGGATTGTCCTGCTTTTCTTTTCTAGCGGATGTAACCCACGCGGGAGAGTTCGTACCCAAGGTATTGCGTACACGGTACAATAAATTCACATTTTTCCTTCATCAGTATCAACCCGGAGTCTAATAGCCTTTTAAGAACTACATCCAGGATGTGCAGATTTTCAGCAGTTGTGTGCCCAGTAATTAGGATCGCATCCAGATAGGCACATGTATTTGGTATGTCTTTCACTAAGGAGTCGATACTTCGTTGAAATATGGACGGTGCAGAGCTTATTCCGAACGGTATGGGTATGTAGCGAAATAACGTAAGATGTGTGTTCATGGTGGGGAAAGGACGTGAATCGTCGTCGAGTTCAATCTGCCGGTAAGCGTGGCTCAGATCCAGTTTGGTAAAACCTTCGCCACAAGACAGAGGCGTAAATATATTCAATTTTCGTCAGTGAATATCGATCTGGATGTAGTGTTTGGTTTATTGTAATTTTGTAGTCCCCACGGAGTCATACAGTACCGTCGCTTTTCAATACAGGCACCATAGCGACAGCCCTATCGAAATACTGTACAGGTTTAATTGTATCCTCTTCTAGCAGTCGGTGCAGCTCAGTCTCGACCTTGTCCCGAAGAGCACAAGGTATGATGCGCGCCTTCCAGAATCTCGGTGTTGCTTGTGGTTTCAGTATCAATCGGGCCGCGTATTTCTTCAGTAGGCCTGGCATAGTTTGATCAAAAAGAGGTGCATATTTTTGCAAAATCCCAAATAGTTGTAGGCAAGCTTCAACTGTGTTGACGTTTGACATGATGCTCATAAGTCCTTTAATTCCATCGCGACCAAGTATGTTTAGACTTGGTCCCCATAAACGTACACACGGATTTGATCGGTCGAATGGCGGTAGGAGATACGTGCGTTAAAGGCACCCAACACATTCACCAACTGTCCGGTGTATGATCGTAGTTGTATTGTAGGGGATCTAGTTTTGGTAGTTGCGACACAGCATCGGGTTGTATCAGCGTAACTGCGGAACCCGTATCAATTTCGTAATCAACAGGTAGCTTGTTTACCTGGAGAGACACAACGAACGGTTTCTCCGCTATTATGTTGTGACTAAAAGCTGTCGTGGTGTTTATCCAGTTCTGGTTTAAATCCTCAGTAATGTGATTCGCAGATTTTGGACTTCTGCGCACAAGAGAATTTCCTTTGGAAAGACAAACTTGCTGGATATGTCCTCTTTTCCCACAAAACCTGCATAAGGAACGAAGATACTGGCAATCAGCCGGATCAGAATGCTGCTCGTCACAGCGATAACAACGGGATTCTCTGCGTTGTAAGAATTGAGGCAATGTACGATCACGCTTTGTTTGAGAGACTTTGTTTACCTCCTGTGAAATTATCTGATCGGAAGAGGAGAATGCCGTTAGTTTCTGAACGAGATTAGCACGTTGTCGAACTATATCACAAGCTTTTTCCCAAGTAAGGGTCTTTTCATCTTCTGACAAAAGACGCTCGCGTGCTTTGTCGTCAAGTACACCAACGATCGATGCGTGTAAAAGCATTGCTTCCTCGAAGTGAGTTGGCCTGATCTGGTCATAGGCGCAATCAGGAAGGGCACTAAGGGGCGGAGAAATAAATTTATTTACAGTTTCACTCGATTGTTGCCTCATGGTGTTAAATTTGTACCGGGATATGAACACGTGTGGTTTTACTCCCCACAGTCGGTCAAGAGAGTAGAGCACAATGTGTAAGTCATGTTTCGTGTGTAGCTGCAAACTATCAAAATGTCGCTTCCTTTCACTACCGAAGTGGTGAAGCAGTAAGTTAATTTTTGGTGTCTCGTCAATCGCATTTTTATTTTCAAAAAGCATAATTAAACCCAGGTAATTAGTGAAAATGGTCTTCCACTGCGTCTATTGCTGCGTCGTAGACCTTTCCGCGGAAGAATTTCAAAACAGCTGAGGTGAAATAATTGAATTTACCATAAGTGATCCAAAAATAACCTCCGTAGTCAATTTGTTACACCTAGATGAATCATAACAATGACGGGCAATGAAAGTATATCGTAAGCAACGGTGCATACAAGAAACGTATAGAAGCAAACAGCAAGCAAGCAAGCATGTAACGTGAGTGCTGAGTCCAGTGTTCGATCAGACAGAGGGAGACTTGACCAATGAGCGCAATGAGAGGGAGGATGAAACACACACACGCATTGATGGACACGCACACACAGGCGTACATTCGTAGTCAGTAGAGGCGACACGGGACACTGGCTGAGGGCGCATCAACCGGTCATGCACCACCAACCTGCTAATGACACGAGGTAGTTAGACGGAAGTGGCTGATGATGGGGTCGGAGTTGACGTCATCTATCTGGACTTCTCCAAAGCTTCCGACGGCAGGGATCAGCGAATCAAATATCACAGGCTACAGAGCTCCGTAATCGGAGATGTCGTTCTTGGTTGGCTTGGCAACTTTCGTCACCAGCGGAAGATTTAAGTGCGTGTTAGGGGATCACTCTCTAGCCCGATTGAGGTGGAATATGGTGTCCCAAAGGGCTCGGTGCTGGGACCGCGCTTATTCCTGGTGTTTATCAACGACGTGACAAGCGTTATCGCCTCAGATTTCCTGCCTTCTGCCCATGATGTTTAGATACGGCGGGCGATTCTTTAAGAAAGAAAACCACGACCTACTCCAGCATGATCTAGATTGTAGTTATGGATGATCAACGAGAAACCTAATTCGGTTCAATACAGGTATGTGCAAAGTGATGCATCTGGTCATCAGCCGATGAGCAGGAACAAGCTTGGAGATCGCCCCCTGGTGAAGGCAACTCAAGTGCATTAACTTGGGTGTACTGGTGCAGGGAAATCCTGGATATTCAAAACAAGCAGAGAGGTTGTCGAGAACCGACAGTCAGCACCTTGGCTTTCTTCGCAGAGCGTTCGGTCGGTTTGACCCCTTAATCTTCCCACAAACATTTAATGCCTACGTGCGGTCGCACGTGGACTACCCATCCAGGCATGGCACCAGTGGTAGAAACAGGATCTCGTTGCTCTCGAGACTCCTCAAAGAATGGCAACCATATATGTCAGGGGCCTCTTTAATCTGCCCAATTAGCTTAGAGTGAAGTCTATAAGAATGTACAGCAGTCGATGCCGGGGTTTGCTAAGAATCTCATAATGGTGTACCTGATACTGAAAACTCAAACCATATTTGCCGCCAGCGGCTGGAACTGAAACACAACACTAACCTAAGAAGTGAGCCTCTGAAACTGACAATGCAGTATAGCCGGCTGGAATGTCGTAATAATATCTTTTCCCTCCGAGTGTGCCAGCCTCAAAATGCTTTCCCAAATTATGTCATCTTTGCCCACAACCTAACGACATTTAAAAATGACTTGTCGGTGTTGTCTCATTTGTCTTTCATTTTATAAGTAGTGTTCGTAATCAAACTGTGTTTTCGAAATCCCTTCCAACGGATTTATGGATTTATACTTTTATTGCGCAAACATCGCTCTTTTATTTAAGTCGATGGTGAGTCCACCAAATTGCTTTTCAATTTATCATGAATTTTTATTTTCTCCGTAATTTCCATCTTACGGGACATGTTAAGCATTACTTTTTTATTCGTAATACACCATTGTGGTCCGAATTTCCCGGTAACCGTTCCTCCTAGCGCTCAGTGATTTTGTGGGAACGGCACCTTTATGGAAACTACGATGTTCTGTAGCTGCGGTTACGCCAAATCGTATAGCTTAAACAAGTAGGGTAACAGTCGTTAGTGCAGCAGCGGAAGCATCCGCATCCCATGCTCACTAACAGGAAAATTACGGGAACTGACGCACATAAGGCTGTGTGGGGAAACCATCCGTTTGTATTTATCGACTTCCCATGCTGACGTCACCTTTCCAGGTTTACTACCACACTCTCACCACCCATGGTCTCTTAAACAGTCGTTGCTAGGTCTCATTTTGGAGTTTTGACTTTAACTTATGATCACACTAGGTTTTCAAGTGGTGTGACATTTTGATGAGTCAAATAGCTATACATATTCAGTCAAAATGCTCTCTAAAATTCTCACCTGTCTTTTTGCCTTTAAAGTTAGTTTCACACTCAGGGTTTCTCGGCTGCTGAGTTTACCAGCTTCTGGACTCACTTTGACTTCGATCCACTCAGCATCAGGCCCACTTGGCTGAAAGTGCAAGGGAGAAGATACATTTCGAATACAAACGGAGGGTTTCCGGCATTTGATATGAGCCGTGATAGCTGTTACCACGTTTACTGGCACAACCAAGTATACAATGAACCAGCAGCAGAAGGTTTGTGTCCAGATGACAGCTACATAAAAGGAAATATTCGAGAATGGTTGGCTATGCACTTGGTTCTAATACTCTTCTTCGTGGCCACCCAATCTCGCTGTCGTATTCTAGCTAATGACGCCATCATGTGCTGCACCACCTGCTTCCGGCATTCCTGACTATCCTGTAACCAGTTCACTGAGGGTAAAGAAAACATGAACTGGAGATTGCCACCGAATTCTTACAATGCGTTATTACTGTCAATCGGTGGTGCTGATAACAGCTTTTCGCAATATGTTTGCACGCGTGAAGCAGTTCGATGAATAACGCATGGAATCAAAACCAAACAGCAGTGGGACTCAAATGACAAATAATCTAACAGTGGGGATAAAAGTGGTGGCCTTATATTTAGCAGCAATACTGTCGAAACTTCTATTCCCATAGATGATAAAACCGCTTTATTTATACAAAGTTTTCCTAATCCGTTATGTCACTTTAGTCAGTTCCTGGCAATGCACTGCCTTCCTGTTCGCAGTGATAATGTGAGCGAACGAAATTTAACCTACTCCAGGGCATCTCTAGTGATTGTATCCACTAAATTGAAAACTCACATTTAACCAAGCAAATTTACACTTCAGCGCTGTCAGATTCACAAGGCTGACAAGTGTTGAGGCCTCAATTGACCGGTATATTGGATCGAAATAAATCCGGCTCGGCTCTATGTCCACCAATGGAGTCTGAACCTCAGCGGAGACCCGAATGCACCTTGGACATTTACAGGCAGAAAATGTCAGTTGGTTGACAGATGAAAAGGTGTTTGTTTTTCTAGTTGTGTAGAAGTTCACTATTTTAACTGAACCAAAGGATGGATGATGCTCTAAACTTTACACCACAATAATTGGCACACTGAATGTTGCTACGTATTGCTGTAGGTTCCAATATTCTGTGGGCGTGCAGTCCTCAAAATTACCAAGGGTGTCAATACTAATACACAGTGATCAGTCAAGCGCTGTGAGTATCTTGAGTCACTGGTGCAAAATTACTTCGTCATGCCAACTGAGCACACGCATGTTCGCCACGAGGAATGCGGATGGACTGAAAGTGTGCTTTGATAAACTGCGGATATACAGAATGCGTACTTACAGCACATGGAAGCCGACCTCGTCCACGATCCATACAAATTTCCGGATGCTGCAACACACTGACGATTCAAGAAAGACCATCACGTTGAGTGAGGTGAACGGCTCTATACGTCCTTCAGAGGGTTCCAACCAAACTTTACTCACGTTCTAAAGCAAGAAAATGTTCCTGGTTATTTGTTACTGGTGTGACTTCATAGAATTGCTGAAACAGCTGATAAGTTGAGTGGTTTGAAAGTTGACGAAATATCCGTTTATTGAGGGATAAACGCATGCAAACCTACTAATTGAACAAGCATAATGATCTACAGAATAAGACATATTCCAACCAATAAAGAACGGTTCCGTTTGTAATTGGCTGCAAAATTCTATTCTTTCGTCGATGAAATTAAGAACACTGGAAGGCAAAGTTTTCCCTATGTATTATCGATGAGTCAGAAGAAATACGAGTAATCAGCGAATGTATGGGACAATGGGCATGCGTAACACGTTGTGGCACAAATAGCAAACATAAGGCAAACAATCAGACGCAAAGTCAAGTGTGCATTGTCCAGTGATTATGCGAGGTAAACGGACGTGTCACAATAAAGAAATCAATGACGTAGGTGAACCAAATGTGTTTTACGTACGGTCTACTGATTGCTGAACCCTAACGGATTCACAGACGATACCTTATCAATGGGGAACCCGCAACATCATGGCACCGGCTCCTGTGCGGATGGATTGTACCACTCGGAGTTAAGTGGGACAAAGGGCATAGGCTTATGGAACAGGTCGGAGTTCCGCATCCAACTATGAGTAATCCAAGTGCGAATCCTCATGTGAGCGACTTGCCTAACTAGTGCTTAGGTACATACTATTACTGAGCCACTAAACGTAAATTATCAGAACGGATTTACCCATACATATTATGATGCACCCGCCAAATAGGTGAATTTGCTCAGTGGTTGTTCGTGTCCAGCCTTTAAGAGCTATGGAGCAAGTGGGGGTGAACAGTATTACTAAAACGCGATTGTACAATGGATATACAAGAATGAACTGTCGTAAGGTATATGTTTGAGACGGCTTGCGGCGAATAAAAATTGTTGAACGTTAATAATGCCAATGTCTGCGGAGACCAGGATGCTATTCATGTATATTTTGACCCTCGTAGCAACGCATTTGATTAGAAACGGGAATACATGGTTTATCTTGTCAGTAACTGGTTTAATACTGGCAAAGACAATTTATTACAGACAACACGGTTTACATTTAAAATCTTCAATGCATGTCTTTTGTGAAATTACAAAGCGCTGTTAACGTTCTTTCCATTGTTCGCACGCCACCTGGAACTCCTTCTCTGGGATGCTGCGAAGTCCCTCGTCGTGGCGTGTTGAATGAATGCAACAGTCTAAAAAGAACATCCTTGCATGACGCTTTTCAAGTGGAGAACAAAAATAGCCGCACGGAGACAGCCCTGGGTGGTACATAGGCTGTGGCAAGGTTGGTATTTGTTTCTTGGTCAGAAAGTCCCAGTCGCCAAGGTGAGGTGACTCGATGCACTCGATGACTCAGAGACAGTTCTCGGCAACCTCAGGACGGACATTATGGACTCGTCGACGAAGTCGTTTAGGTACTTGGACGTAAAAATGTGCATTTAAACTTTGCATAGGAGGAACAAACTCAGAATGGAGGAATATGCTGGAATCATTGAACACAATGACCATTGCGAGTCTTCTCTGTTACTATACGAAACTTTGCCCATGGGTCTCCGCAGCGTAGTCAAAAAGTCCGTATTTCTCTCCTGTGATCACCTTCCGTATTGTTTGGCTCTGCTGCCACACAACGCAACAATGCTTGCGAACAGACCAAAGTCTGTCAGCACGTTTGGCACCAACTTTGCACACACCTTTAGCATGCCCAAGTCTTGTGACAAAATTACATAAACGCGTTTTGGGCAAGTTTAGTTCCTCTGCGATTAATCGCACGCACTTTCGTCAATCACCGTTCAATGTGTTCCGCACACGGTCCACGTTTTCCTTCGTTTTGCTGATGGGAGGTCGATCCACACGTCTCTCATGCTCAACATCTTCAATCTCCTCCTTGAAGGCTTTATATCACTTAAACACCATAGGTCGACTCGAACACCCGTTGCTGTATGTTGTCTGTAATAGTTCCAACGCCTCTATCCCGGATTGGTCGAGTTTGACACACAATTCAATTGCGTGACGCTGTTCGATAGATTCCACCTTTTTCACAACACGTCACTCAGTACAGGGATTCACTATTTCCATGATCCGAAAGTTCCGACGTATTGTCAGCGCGTAGCTAACACCCCACCACCCAAGCAGTTAACCTTTTCCCACCCACGACGCATACGCGGAACCTCAGCGCTTTTCAGCTACTTTCATGACAAATCATGTATTGGTATATTTCAGGGAACGTAACTTTTTGTTAAAATACTTGCCTGTTGTTGGGCAGAGATTTTGACGGTGCCCAAGTTGTTCGAGCAATCGGTGCGTTAATGGTTCACATTACAGCTAAACAATGCACACAGATTGAAGACAATCACTGTCAGGTGTGTTGCTGATATGTAGGAATAAAGCATAGGATTCTTGTAGTGCCGCTTTAGAAAACGATTCGGAATAAAATGTGATTCAGGTAACCCGGTACCACTTGGAAATTTTTCAGTTTTGGTGTCATTATGACTCCCGTTTCACAATTTGACGCTGGGATGAGTGGAAACCAGTGGCTTTATCGAATCCAGTGATAATAGGTTACCACTGTCCATCCTAAACGTTACCACTATGATCGAGCCGCACTACTTGGCTAGGTCGACCTCACATTTCCATACTCATTAGCACAGGCATGCTACTGTCCGGTTAAAGTATGCTGTAAGGATTATTTGTTCACGTGTATATATGTGCGTACATTGTGCTTTTAACTATTTGTGTTATACTACCCTCATGGCAACGGATGTGACCGACGCGGCTCTCATACCAATAATAGGGACCAGTGTGGCAGTCGATTGGTCATCAGTCTGCTACAACTACACTAGAACACATGATGCATCTGTTCTCAAGTACCTCACCGTCCCCATTAACAAACGCTGGCACTAGTGAATTCGGACGAATAACAGTAAAAAGCTGATCGATGAACAATGATTTATCATAGGTGAAAAAGCAGGTGCTAGACAAGTTCCAGAGGATGGCTGGGGTGAAAACTACAAAATCAAAAGATTAGTGTTATCAATCGAAGAGCTTATCGTGCAAATGCATGCGTTGAATAGTCAAATCGTTGTCGAAAAGTTTGTTCTTCCCACAGTCGATGAATTATCAGTCAAGATAGACGGCGCACGAGTTTTCTCCTAGCTAGACTTGAGGAAAACCTTTTCCACATGCCATTGACGCCGGAGTCGAAGCCATTGATGGTTTTTCTCACGTTAAGCGGTCTGTTCCAGTACAAACTTGTGCCAATGGGTCCCAGCTGCGTACCGGCCGCTTAGCAGAAGTTGTGAATTAGTCACTGAGTGACCTATCTGGGAGGTCATTTACAAGGACGATATTTACGCTTTGGTCCCTCTAGAGAAGAGCAAAACTCTAGACTACGCGTTTTATTACACCAGTTGGAGAGCATAAATCTTCGGCTCCATCTGGAAAAGGGCAACTTTAATACTAAGGTGGTGGAATTACTTGGGTACATCTTATCAGCTGCGGAAGCCGACCATATGCTGCAAACACTCGTGCTGCCACAGAAGCATCCCTTCAGAAGAATGTGTCTGATATATATATATATATATATATATATATATATATATATATTCAGCAATCTATAAGTTAGATATAGAGCCAGCGAAAAAATGGAACAGGAGTAATAGATACGGAGATCACAACGAAAAGAATGAAAGTTATAATAAATGACTTTTCTTTGTGAAGCTTGTCTTTTCTCTTTTGTTTTTCTTCCATACACTGTTTTACATTTTTGTCTTTCTAATGTTCGCAATATAGATAAAGCAAATCAAAACAAATATCTGTACACCTTTTTCCATTGGGCCCGGTTCTGCGCCAAATCCGAAAATGTTTCCAGCCGGTGGTGTTCTTCATTTTAGATCCTCCAGCCCGGAAGACGCACGGGACCTACAACAGCTAAACTGGAAGTCAGCGCTTTGATCGTTTGGCGCCACTTGATACACTGATCACTACGCGATTTCTTCCAGCTTGGTCCTGTGCTAGCGAAGAAAGCGCGTCAGGGCAGCCGTTCGCATGACATGCATAAGACGTGGCCCAGGTATCTCAGTTGACGCAGCGGTACCAATCTGTCAACTGGAAATCCCGTCTTACCCAAAACGCGACGTCTAACATCATCGTTGCGCACGTGGTTCATCCACCACACTCAATCTATCCTCCGCAGAGATCCATTGTCAAAAGCCAAAATCCGATGCGTCATTCACACGAATCGGCCAGGACCCACTCGAATACAGCAGCACCGTGCGTCTGAAATTAAACAATTTCTTGCACTGTGCACGTAAAATTTGCGTTATCTACCACATTTTGCTAATCTAGCAGTCAACTGTGCTTTCCGAATTAACTAAGACAGAGATGTAGTAAGCCAACAAAATGATTAAAATATGCAGACCGTTTCCCGCTACACCTCCGAGGACTGGTCTGGCAACACAAATCTCAGTGGCGAACTACGTGCGTTCTATGGGTTACGGCATGAACACGCAGTCATTGATGGTTGCCTTATGCGAGGACCGCAACTCGTGGCCCCACAGGAGCTAAGAGCAAACACCATCCATTGAGCACACGCGGTACATCCAGGCATCGTAGGAACGAAACGCCGGCTGCAGGAGCTCTTTTAGTGGCCAAAGACCTCAAAAGTGGTGGACGCGTGTGTTCTATCCTATGAGCTGTGCCAGAATAGCGATCAAAGCTCGAAGCCGATTGATTCACCCGTTCAGCCTATCGTTTGTCCAAGGGAACTCTGGTCGAAAGTAGCGATCGACATCAGAGTAGCGTTCCATTCTGCACCACAGCAACAGAGAAACTGTTTGGTGGCCACTTGCTTTTACAGCAAATGGCCTGAAGTTCATCTCTGTAGCGATTTGAACACTATCACTGGTATACGGTGGTTGAAGCATCTGTTTGCTAGATTTGGGCTCCACGAAGAAA